CTCTACCCAAACTGTGTAATGTGCTTCCCATTTACCCTTCTTCCAATTGCTGCTGTTACCTCTAGGCTGCAGTGAGAATCCTTAGGTTCCCTTGGCCACAAGAGTTTCTCTGGAGTTCCTTTCTTTACCTTTTATTTTTATTTTTGTGTAGTGCTGGGGATTGAACCCAGGGCCTTGTGTGTGCTTGGTAACCATGCTACCACTGAGCTATGTCCGAACCTTTTTGACCTTTTAAAATTTTGAGAAAGGGTCTCACTAAGTTGTCCAGGCTGGCCTCGAACTTGCAATCCTCCTGACTCAGCCTCCTGACTCACTGGGATTACAGTTTTATATAACGGTGCTAGGCTTGGATTCCTCTCATTACAAGCTCTATTTTAAGGAAGTGAATCACAGGGTAGATAGACATGGACATACTAATTGGATGCACACAGAGGATCATGTCTAACTCCGGCTTTGTGCACAGTGTAACAGCATTGTGGGGACTCCAGAGCCTTAGGATCCAGCACTTATCCTCGGCGGCTTATGACCCGGGAGGGTTGGATGGTGTCATGTCATGGTCCCAGGATGCACAAGCCTTGCTTTGTGTCTCATGCAGTGGCAGACAGGTTATCTCTCCCCTGTCCCTTTGGGTGGATACACATTCTAGGTCCTGAGTCATCCTTCATCCTTTAAAACATCTAAGTTTAGGCTGATTTGAACTCACTGTGTAGCCCAGGCTGACCTCAATCTTCCTGCCTCAGCCTCCTGAGTGCGAGGATTACATGCATGTGTCACCTCGTCCTGCGTAACATTAAGTCCTGTACCATTAGTACAAATAGAAACAAAATATCCATTGGACAGAAATTTCCTTTTGGGGATACTTTCCCAGAAGTTCTCTTATCTCCCCCTGCCTGCCCCGTCTTCCTGGAAGAAGCAGGTCTGCTTTTGTCCTTCAGTGCATATCTGTGCCTGTGGAGGATCTGCATCAAAGCACCCAACCAGAGGGCTGCGAACAGGGGCTCTAGGAATTGTTGGCAGTGTGGTCTCAGCTGCCCAGGGCTGCTCGGTGCATGGGGCCAGTGGGCCCGCATCTAAACAGTCCGAGAGCCCCTGCTCGGTGGACGCATGCTACGTGGGGCTGACGGTCGCCTCTCCTGCACCTTCGTGGCTTCCTGGTGGTGCTCTGTGCTGTCATCGCCCGGTCATTAATGCCATGAGCCAGGGACCTGGGGCCGGGTTGCAGATGAACCTGTAACCCGCGGAGGCTGCGTTGGTTTCCTCTGTGACCAGGACCGTGGTAGGAAATAGAATGCCATAAATCCTCGTTTCCAGGGTTACCTTCTTGCTGCCGATAACAGGCAGGAAATTAAAACAATCTGTGATAGTGTTTTGTTCTTACTATCCACAGATGGTCGCTTTTAGATACATTGGAGCAAAACATAAGTAAATATGGCCAGGAAACTTCATTATTGAAGAAAAATGATTCAGCTGGGTCAGGTTCATAGTCCGTGTTCGTTTTGATGAAAGGACTGTAGGCAGCACATCAGGGCTTCATTACCGCTCGGGTGTTAAGCCATGTGACAGTTGCTAGTCTTTTTTCTTTTCGGTTTAATTTTATTTTGTGGATGTAAATGCTTATGTGTTTTAGGTCAAGTAATATATTCATGAATGCCTTATTTCTATCATTTCCCTTATCTCTTAGTTCTTCACAGACTGTCATTTTTATTATGTGTGATTGGTCCTTCCGGTCTTTCTTTCTGCAGATAAACATGTACGTGTGTATATGTTTAATCTTCCTCTCCTGCTTTTCTTTACAGATAATCACATTCTGTACTACCATTTAAAAAACTTACTTTTAATCTTTTTTTTTTTTTTTTTTTTTTTTTTTTTTTTTTTTTTTTTTTTGGTGTCAGGGATCGAACTGAGGCCCTCATGCTTGCCAGGCAGGCGCTGTGCCACTGAGCTGCATCCCTGGCTAAAACTCATCTTTAAAAGTTAGCTTGATTAGGGTATAACTAGCGTTCAGTGGCATTCACGAGCTCTGCGCACACCGTGTGAGATGTGGCAGATTTGTACAGTTGTGCAGCCACAGTAGAGTGAGGCAGACACCTTTTCCATCAACATCAGGTAGCAAGTTTCTTGCTGCTCTTTGGCATCCAAACGCTCTCAGTTCTCTGGCCGCCGATAACCACCTGTCTGCTGTCGCTATAGCTGCGTCTTCCCTAGAATCTCACACTTAGGCCAAGTTACTAGGCGATGTCGTCACGCGTGCGTTATAGATCACACACACACACACACACACACCCCGAGATGCTGTGGTCTTTCGGGACTGCCGTGTGTTTGAGACCTGTCACTGACCTGTCATCACACTGCACACGACCGTGGTCTTCTCTGTGTGTATATGTGGCTTCTTTCAATGAGAAGAACACTTGGGCAGGATGCAGAGGCACAGTCTCCACACGATGAGTGCTCTCATGTGTGCCTACAATGCACCAATAAATGTTTTGCTATAAGAAGATCCAACCATAAATAACACTTGGGATCCATAGCTCTGTTCTTACATGTAATTCACTCTGTTTTATTATTATTATCATTATGATTTTGGTTTTTTGGACAGGGTCTCACTATGTAGTTCAGACTGCTCTGGAACTCACTGTGTAGCCCAGGCTGGTCTCGAACTTACAGTGATCCTCCTGCCTCAGCCTCCTGAGTGCTGGGATTGCAGGCATGCGCTACCACGCCCGGCTATTTTATTATTTTTAAATTTCTTCTTATTTTTTTGGTGCTAGGGATTGAACTCAGGACCTTGCACCTGCCAGGCAGGTGCTGTGCCACTGAGCTACATCCCAGGACCTAATCACTCCATTTTAACACCAAATAGCATAACACTGTTTATACTTCCGCTTGAGGGGCATTGTCCTGTTTGTGTTTTTATTTTGAGAGCTCGTTTGGTGGTTCCAGCAGGAGGACTCAGCTCCTAGTATACGGCGACCCAGGAAACAGTCCTCCTGTGGGGTGCGTCCTTTTTGACTTTGCGGCTTCGGGAACAGCACACATGGAGCAGTGAGGGCGCCAGGGGACACAGGCTGAGCCCCCAGATCTGTGGGGTGACAGACGTCGCAGCCCGATTACCCTTGTGTTTTTCATTTTGAAATAATTTTAGACTGAAAGAATAGTTACAAAAGCCCTATAGTTGCCCTCCTAACGAAACATCTCATATGGCTACGGTTACAATTATGTATTTTAGGAATTTTAAATTTTATTTATTTATTTTTTAAATTTATTTATTTTTGATACTGGGGATTGAACTCAGGACCTTGCACTTGTGAGGCAGCTGGTGGAACCACTGAGCCAAATCCCTGGCCCTATATATTTTAGAAATTAATGTTGGTACAATAACGTAAGCTGCAGTATTCATTCAGGTCTTAGTTTTTCATTGCATTTAGTTATGTTTATCTTGTCTCCTCCAGTCTGAAAGTTCCTCAGCATTTCCACATCTCTTTTTTGGTTGTACTGGGCATAGAGCCTAGAGCCTCACACTAAGTGACACCCTAGCCCTTTTTATATTTTGAGACAGATTCTCACTAAGATGCCCTGGCTAGGCTTGAACTTGTGATCCTCCTGCTTCAGCCTCCCAGAGGGCTGGGATTACAGGTGTGCATCACTGCATGTGGCTTCTTGGTGCTTTTAAAAGTATACTTATTTAGGTATTTTGTAGGACATCCTCCCATCTTCCTGAGGACTAGGATATCATTATGTATTGTTGGGATGAATCCCAGGGAGGCAACGTGTCACACCGGGAATGCACAGCGTCCTGGCTCCCTCCTGGTAAAATTAGCCTTGGTCATTTTATTAAAGTGTCACCTGCTGACGTCTCCACTCTGAAGTCTCACAGGAAGTCACTGCTTTTCCTCTGGACTCTGCCCCTGGTACATCGTTACTTTTTAACCTCAGTGGACACAAGACCCATAGTTCAGCAGTTCTGCCAGCCTTGATTATTCGAGCGACAACTGTACTTTGCCGACATGGTGATGAGCATAGTTAATGCCCATGATGTCCCTGTGAAGTTGGTGCTTTATTCATGCCTATTTCACAGCCAGGAGGACCGAGGCATAGACTGTCTTGCCCAAGGTCCCAGAGCCAGTAAATTAGAATCAGATCCCAACAAGCGGCATGTGGCTGTCACCAGCGCTTAGAATGGGGACTTTTTCCCCCTTTTTGCCACAGAAAATGAATGTATCTGACACTGGACAGTCCTCTTGCTCTTTAGGAAATTTCTGTTTGTCTTTGCTTTCAGGACGGTTTCTTGTATAACCGAAGACTTTAGTAAGCTTGATAGGAAGTGACTTTATAGTACCGTCTTGCAGAAATCTAGGGCACCTCCGGCCACACTAAGAAGCTATTTTGGACTTCTTCAAAAATACGACTGAAGGGCCGGAGATTTAGCTCAGCGGTTCGGTGGCCTGCCTTGCAAGCGCAAGGACCTGAGTTCAATCCCCGGTACCACCCCCCAAAAAAAAATACAACTGAAGGTTGGGGGAGAATATTCAGGATAGAAGATTGCTTTTGGAGAGGGAACTTCCAGAATGCCTGAGCCTTTTCCTCCCTAGGTTTCACCAGCAGCTCCTAGCAGAGGTCAGCTCTGTCATCTGTGTGGTCGTCTCCACCCGCATCCACTTTCCCTGGCCATACTCAGGGCTTTCATGCCTGACTTGCCTGACTCGGGCTGGTGACTGCTCTCCGTGTGACTCAGGTCTGCCAGCCCCGAGGCGCTAGGGTCAGGGCTGTGGGCGGACATCTGTGAATTGTGCCTGACTCATGCAGCCTGCCTGTCCAAGGACTTCATCTCTTCCTTTCTGCCTGGTCACGTTGCGGAGACTGAGTGTCCCTCAAGTCCTTGCAGTCACATAGCAGTGTCTTGCTGTATCGGGTTTGCCAAGCTGGGCAGGCAGAAGCGCAGGACTTTTTCTGTGTATGTATTTATTTATAAAAGGACATGTGACAGTGTCCTTGCCTGTAGCTTCTTTTCTCTTTTAATGACAGTAGAGCTGAAGAATCCTTCTTGTCACCAGGCATTCACCTACACTGCTGTTTGGGTACTGCTGCTGGGTTACCATGGCAAGGATTGGGTACCATGGCTGGGTTGCCATGGTGAAGATTGGATACCATGCCTGGGTTGCCATGGCGAGGATGGGGCTCTTGCCCAGGTCAACAGGAACACCAGGTCAGGGTGTTCTTGCAGTCCCAGCATCGGACAGCTCAGCCCTCCTTCAGGTGTCTTCACATTAATTTCTGTTTTGCAAATTAGATTCTGAAGCTTGGCCAGTACGGTTTAGGACAGAAAGGCCTTTTCATTTTAGACACCTGTTGTAGCTTGCCCTGTGTGCTAGGCTTTACAGCTCACCCGAGGCACTGGTGTTCCCCAGAACCTCCCCAGGGAGGTGTCTACGTACAAATGCTGGACTGTTCGGGTAGAACAAATCTGATGCCCACTTACAGTAACTGGAAAGAGTTACAGGTCTACAAAATTATTTTGCAAATTGATAGTAGAGGTTGAATCATTTGTTTGTCTGTCTGTTCAGTAGCCCAGGCTAGCCTGGAACTTTTGGCAATCTTGAGGCAGGAGGATTGTTATGTTTGAGGCCAGCGTGGGCCAGTGAGTTCAAGGCCAGTCTGAACTACATAGCAAGATCCTGTCTCAACAAAACAAAACAAAACAAAACTGCCTTGAAAGTGCAGGGTGCTAAGTTTGATCCCCAATACAAAAAACCAAAAACAAAACAAAAAAACCACAAAAGAAAAAAAAAGCCCAACCAAACAGAAAAAGAAAAAGCGAGTGAGAGTGGCCCATTTCTACCACCAGAAATAGCCACTTCTGTTTTGGCATACCTGTTTTCTCCCTCTTTACTGCTCTCTGTGATACTGTAAATATATTTATAATCCTGCACAGTATCCAGGATTCTTTTATATCATTTAAAGAGAAAACTTTGCTAATTTGAAAGGGAAAAGTAACTTGTGTTAGTTTATATTTCCTTCTTTTTCTGCAAGATTAATATTCTGTTTAACATGTACTATCTTTTCATATTTAACCAGTGTCTTTTGGACATTGAGTTTTTCTGCAAAATTGGGAAGGTTACTAAGGCAAGCCTCTGATTTCAGATGTCCTGAATGATGCAATATTTGATGAAGATCATGATGAGATGGTGATTGTGAAGGACATTGATATGTATTCCATGTGTGAACATCACCTCGTTCCCTTTGTCGGAAAGGTAAGGTTTTCAGTGTCATTCCCTACCGCTTTATTTATTTTCATTTTTATGTTTTGGTACAGGGTATTGAACTCTGGACCTTGTGCTTATGAGACAGGCAGTGGAACCACTGAGCCAAATCCCCGGCCCTATGCCCTACCAATTTAAAGAAGCACAGTGAAAATTTTATTTATTTATTTATTTAAATTTAAAAAAAAATTTTTCCTTTATTGGTACATTTTAGGTATACAGTAGTTACATTCATCATCAACGTAGTGAAAGTTTTAAAGTTAGGATAATTGTATTTAAAATCACCAGCTACTAATTCCTAACACCCCAGACAGTCACAGTTATGCATAAATACTTACTCTCCATCAACCTGACTGATCTAAAACTCGGAATTAAAAACAAAAGCAAAATAACAGATGCTCCTAGGGCAATACTTCTATATTAAATACCATGTTAATAGCTTAAGGTAATGAGGTGAAAGTAACATTTTTTAAAAAGTAGCTGCTGCAGGCTCTAAAATCCTTTGCTCTCTTTATTTTGGCCCAATAATGTTTGATGTAAGCTGTCTGTGTATATGGCATGACCTGAGAAGTAATGACTGCAGCATTTCTTGGGGCAGAGGTTTTGATTTGCAGACAACCCTTTCTAGATTAGAAAAAAGGAATCTCATGGCAACCAGATAATGTGTTATCTAGTTTGTTATAGTTAAACATACTATCTTAGCTACTTTCGTGTTGCTGGAACAAAATACCAACACCCCCACAAGTTAAAGGAGGAGAGGTTTATTTTATTTAGCTCACAGTTTGTAGTGGTTTCAGTCCATAGTTGGCTGGCTCCAAGGAAGGGCAGCATGTCCGAGGGGAGTGACAGAATAGAAACAGTCCATGGCAAGGCAGGCAGGAAGCAGCAAGCAGCAGCGAGCCTCTCTTTCCCTTTTTATCCCATCCAGGCTGCAAGCCTATTGGTTGGTGCTACTCACACTCGGGGTGGGTCTTCTGGCCTCATTTAATCCATCCAGCCACAACCAAACCATGCTAATCCAAGTAGTGGACTAATCTAGTTATCACATCTTTAATCCATATTCACACACACCCTAGATCCAACCACCTTCATAAAGCCCCCCTATGAGCGCATGAGGCTTTAGGGGGCTATCTAGACACAAGCCATGACACATGCCTTTGAGAACATGTAGGTTTAGGACAAAGAGTTGTCCTGTCCCCTACTTCCACAGTGCTTTTGTTTTATTTTGGCTTTTTATTAATAATTTTCAAACAGAAGTCGTTTAGGAAACAGTATTATGAAAACCTATATACCCATCACCTCAATTTAATACATACTGACATTACTTCATTTTTTGTTAAAGTTTTTTGTTTTTTGTTTTGTTTTGCTTTTATAAGGGATTAAATCAGGACCTCCTACATGCTGGGAAAGCACTCTGCCCAGTCCTTAAAAAAATTTTTTTACCTTGATACAGGGATCTCTCTAAAGTGCCTAGGTTGGCCTTGAACTTGTTATGTTCCTGCCTCAGCCTCTGGAGTCTGTGGGATTACAGGCCTGTGCCACCATGCCCCGTTTACTTTATTTTTCACCATTGAATGGAAGTAAAACATGGAAGAATGAAGAAATAGCGAGGTTATTTCTTACACTCACAGATCAAGAGATAGAATGTGATTAGCCTCTGGGAAGGGACCTCTTATCCCTTCTTAAACTCTATCCCGGCCGCTGACCCCCGGCTCCCAGGTAGCCAGCATATCAGTTTCTAATACTAGAGACTAGTTTTGTTTTTCAGCCATGTATACGTGGGAAAAATCTGCAGTTTGGCCTCTTTTGTGTCTGACTTCTTTTGTCTGCATTGTAAGGTTCATTGATGTTAATGCCTTTGGTTATTATATATTATCACACTGTGCAAATATACAGCTTGTCTGTCCTGATCTTACTGGGCCTTTGCACATCTATGTTCTTTTTTGAGGGGTGGGTGAGAGCTACTAAAAACAGTGCTGCCATGGGCTTTCTCTTGGTACATGTATTATATACATGCGTTTCTGCTAGGAGTGCCTCTTGGGTGGAACTGCAGGCCCACAGCATAAGCTCACGGCCACCGTACTCAGTGCTGACCCAAGGCTGTCCACGGTGGTTGTGCCAGTTTACATCCCCGGCGGCCATGGAGTGCTGTCTCGCATGCTTGCCAGCCTTGGCACTTCCTGTCTCATGATTCAGTGTTCCATCGTGTGTGCAGTGCTGTCTCAGACAGGCTCTCACTATGTACTTGGGACTGACCTGGAACTCACTATGGAGCCCAGGCTGGTCTCGAACTCACAGCGATCCTCCTGCCTCAGCCTCCCGAATGCTGGGATTACAGGTGTGCGCCACCATGCCCAGCTTGTAGTGGTATCTTTTTTAAAAAAAGTTATCATGGAAAATCTGAATCATATATAAAAACAGAAAGAGTGGTAAAGTAAGTTCATGTTCCCCAAAACTAGCTTCTCCAGTCATCAGCACAGGATAATCAGGTTATATCTGGATCCCCACTCACCATGTGGGACCAAATCCCAGCCATTGTACAGTGGACCCTCGAGTTACGACCGGCCTGGCATATGAACAGCTTGGGTGATGACTGGCATTTTAGTTTTAATTTACAACCAGTCTTGAGTTACAACCTGAATGCTGGTCGCTTGTGATTCCAGATTTAACCCTTAAAGAGTCCTGGAAGGAACATTCCAGCATCCTTTCCTGTGCAGGGTTCACTGAGAAATCCTGGGCCAGGGTCTCTCTAAGGACCCTGAGATCTGCCTGTGTACAGGAGAGAGGCTTGAAGGCTGTGGAGAGGAGCTGAGCTTTCACTGACCAACCTGAGTTACAGCCAGTCTTCATGAATGAATTGAGTTTGTAAGTTAAGGGTGCACTGTACGCTTTGTTTACAATTTCTTCTAGTCTCTGTCTCTAAATGATGAACTTTAAAAAAAATTAAGATGCCCTCTAATAAGTTAACAGTGTTTCAGCATATTAAAGAATATAAGGTATGTTACAGCCAGCCTGCCGACTTTTAATTATTGTCATCCCTAAAATATTTATGCTATCGATTAATATCCATCTCTAAACTGCTTTTTTGCTTAGGCACCGTGGTAATACCGCAAACAGAATTAGCAGTGATTCTTAAGTAGCATCAATAACTAAGCCATATTTAAATGTCTCTGATTTTCTCTCAAGTTTTACTGTTGATTTCCTGAAGCAAGAGCCAGCTTAGAGTCACATCCGTGTTTCCATTCCTTCTGGTTGTGTCCCTTAAGTCTCCTTACTCTAAACCCCCGTCCCCCAGTTCTCCCATTGAGGGCCCTGGCTGGGCGTCTGTGCAGGCCCCTTCTCACTTCCTGCTGGGTTCCATTTGCCCTCTGGATTTCTGGTCATGAGAGAGTTTGCAGCTTCGTGATACTAAGCGGAACGCTGCAGACGGAGGTTTTCACAGGGCTGAGGACTGGTAGTCTGTCCACTCGGGAGTAGGCCACCGTGTTGGCCGAGGAGTGGGGGAGACCCTGGGCACCCCCTCTGGTCTCTGCTGTGGGTGAGAAAGTCAGGCTCCCATCCACGCAGGTGCAGGGCCTTGGGGCTGCCTGTGCCGCACCACCCTGTCCGCAGCTCAGCGGGGCGGTACAGTAGTTCCCTCTTCATTCACGTCCTTGCTGGCCCTGGCCTTTAGGTGTCTGATTCAGTGAGGATTTTCTAAAACAGACTTTTAAATAAATTGGAATCATCAGAAAGATCCAAAATAGTACCGATTGTAAACACACTGGAGCTGTGCACACAAGCACAGACGTTTCAAGCCGGTGCAAGCCCTCAGCCCTGTGGGAAAGCTTTCGCTCTGGGTTTTCTTTGAAACACCTGACGCTCAGGCATTCCTTTCCTTTCTCCTGCCTGCCAGGAAGGTGATGAGGTGGAATTTGTACTGTTACAGCATGGCACTAGTAGGTGAAAGATGACTGAGGACTCTTGGTCAGTTATCGTGCACAGGATACACTGGGCATTTAGATCAGCAATCTTTATACAAGTGTGGACATGATTTTTTTTTAATATAAGTACCTGAACCCAGGGCCTCATATATGCTAGGTAAGCACTCTACCACTTACTGTCTTGTCTGTCTGTCTGTCTGTCTATGTATCTATCTATCATCTATCTTACTGAAATAAGATCTAAGTTGTCCAGGTTGGCCTCAACCTTGAGATCTTCCTGCCTCAGCCTCCCTGGTATAGTTAAGACTACAGCCCTGTAGTTTTAATTTTTATTTTTCCCTGTAGTTTTATATCCAGCTAATTGATTGCCTGCAGTAACCACTTTACCAGGCTTTTAAGAGAACTAGCCTTTTCTCACTCTGACCACTGGGCTGCAATGCAGCTGGCATTTTTACCAGATAGGTTCATTGGTGCCCCCTACGCTGACGGCAGGTTTCCCTGCCACAGCCCTGTGGGAACCATTCTCAGGTGCCTGTTTTGCCGAGCCGCTTTCCCTGTTGGGGTGGTGGAGCTCACCAGAAGCCCGGTGTCTGGGCCCCCAAGGACAAAGAGTTCCCCACGCAGCAGGGCTCCTGGGGTCACGAGGCCACTGGTGGCGAGTGGCAGCCCTGAGGTGTGCAGTTCCTGCCGTGTCAGCAGCCTCTCTGCCTGTGTCTGATGTCACTGAGGGTCACGTCTCTTCTTGAGGACCTTTCTCCCCTAGGGACAAAGGACCCGCAGAATTTAACTTTAGCTTGGAATGTCACAGGCATGCTTTATAGGTGTCACAGGCATGCTTCATAGGTGTCATTTAAGTTTTTGGAGGCTGGCCTTGCCTTGACCATGTAGCCCAGGCTGGCCTTGAACTCATGACAATTTTTTTTGCCTCAGTCCCCTGAGCCCGGGGTTACAGGTGTGTGCCACCACGCCTGGCTTCGGTTTGTCCTTTGTAACAGACTGAGTGCTGTGTAGTAACCCTTTACTGTCTTTTTTTGAGTCAGGGTCTCCCTGTGTAACCCAGGCTGGCTTTGAACTCACAGTGATCCTCCTGCCTCTGCCTCCCAAGTGCTGGGACTATAGGCGTGTGCCATCACGCCTCGCCTTCCTTTTACTATGTTTGCATAATTTAAAAAGCATTCCCATTTATCACTCCATTCAAGTCTTAAGACTTCCACGTGTTTTCTGAAGGTCCATTGTCATGACGGTAAATTTACATGTAAATACGCGAGATCCTTTCTGTGTTCCGGTGTCAATGTCACAAAGACAACTCTCTGCCTTTGGCTCACAGTCCTCTCTCCTCTCAAAGGTCCACATCGGCTACCTCCCTAACAAGCAAGTCCTCGGCCTCAGCAAACTGGCGCGGTAAGTACGAGAGTGTGGCGACCAGGACCACAGGCTGCCAGACCCGCCCTGTCTACTGCCAGCGCTTCACCCAGCCTTCTTCTCTCTCTGCCCTGGTCTGGCTCTGACATGGAACTCAGATCGCAACTCAGCATTTACAGTTGCAGCCAGTAATGGTGGCACACACTTGTAATCCCAGCTCATGGGAGGATGAGGCAGGAGGATCTCTGAGTTCAAGGTCAAGCCTGGGCTGTATTGTGGGGCCTTGTCGGGAAGACCCCTACAAAGATTGTGCAGTCGATAAGGCCATCAGAGTAACAGTCCTGAAGCGTGGGTGGTCTTGTCATCTCACGTCCTGTTCGCCTGTCCCCTCCGTGACTGGAGGGAATGTTCAGGGGGCTCAGTTAACAGTGACACAGGCAGCCATCTCCCTAGCTGAGCTGGCCTGGAACTCAGTGGTGATTCTCCTGCCTCAGCCTCCTGAGTGCTGGGATTACAGGTGTGCGCCACCACAGACTTTGACTCCAGCTCCACCCCACCTCCCTCCGCACCTGTGCCTGGTCCCCCAGGAGCCCGTCCTCACCTCTAGGTCCCTGGCCCCTGTGGGCTGTGCCTCCCTGTTCCCAGACACAGGGTACTCTCCAGTTCCTTTCTTGTCTGCTGCTGTCTTCCTTTGGGTCTTTACCCTCAGGTTTGTACCTGGAAGGGTTTCCTTTGCCATCCCTTTTGTCTGGGCTGCAGGACCTTGACTGAGTCTGTGTCCAGATATCTCGGAGAGGCCCCGCCCCCGGGACGTTATTGCCCTTAAATAACCTTTTCTGTGTTGTCCGTTTGCATGACGGTAGTCCTGGCCGGGCGTGTGTGTGGAGAGAGTTTAAAGGTAACACAGTTGTTAAAACTAAACGCGGCGGTGCTTACCTGCGGACCCGGCACTGAGGCAGGGCAACGAGTTGCAGGCAGCCAGAGCTACACAGCAAGGCCCTATTTCAAGAAACAAAATTTAAAAATCAAGCTAAGTTTGAGTCACTTGGAGGTCGCAGCGGCCCCATCGCAGCTGGAGCAAATGAATTTCTGTGACCAACTGACTTGGTCCTGCGCCTTCTCCAGGGCCAGACCCTTTCCAGGCCCATGTGCAGTGTGCAGACCACACCAGGGAAGCAAATGCTGGCTCCCTGCCATGCTGTTCCCTTTGCTTTGGTTTGCTTCCATTTTTCTCCTTCATCTCCGTTAGGAATTTAGCAGGTGGAGGAAATGCCCTGGACGCCTCACTTCCTGTCTGCAGGTCTGCTAGGTTCTGAAGGCAGGGACAGATCCTGGCCCTGCACAGGGTAGGGCCTTGCGCCGCTGACTGTCACTGTCATTTTAAGTAGCAACTCTCTCTCTGGGGACTTGCCAAAATGAGGTTCGTGAGCCAGTGTGAGTAGCAGTGGCTCTCTGAAGTCGGTGACTTTTACAGTCCTGGAACGCACGCACAGTCTGAGTCCTGGGCCTTCAGCGCTGCGCCGGGTCCTCCCTTCCCGCAGGACCCGCCTCTCCCGCCCTCAGACTTCAGGGCTTGGGCTGGGCCACCCACACCCACACCCTGCGCCCTAGCCTCCTCCACTGCGCTCCTGGGGTGGGTGCAAGGAGCCGGCCCTCCCCTTGGTAGTTCGCGTGAGGATTTGTGTTACATTAGTAAGATTGAAACTTGAGAAGAAAAGGCGGCACCAAACCAAAGCACCCTGTGTGCTATTCTTAGGTATCCTGTCAGAAGATTGGAGGCAGGCATCTGTTAAACAGAAAAGGAGATTTAAGATTTGATTCAACTGCCCCTTTCTTCTAAGTAGTGAGAGTACTTAAGGAGTGAAGAGGAATAAAGCGGACGGCGCGTCCTAGCAGCACCTCCCTGCTCGTTTTAATCCTGTGTGTGTGTGAGCTCTGCTCTGTGCATGTCTCAAGCGGATGACCTTTCGGTGCCAGTGAAGTCAAATATCAGACAGAAAAGCTTAAGTAACAGGAAAATGCCAGGCGGGAGTTCAAGAGTAAACTTAGTTCGAATAGAAAACCCTTGTGTTGCTGAAGAGCCACGGAATTTGTTTTGTTGCCTTAGAATAATTGAAGGAATATAATGAAATCTTGAATTCGGAAGATGGACAGAGACCAGGAGACCAGAATGGGGGAGCAGTTCCTGTGGGTGTGGCCAGCGCATGCGCGGGAGGCAGGGGGCGGGGCGGTGCCGTCCCACAGCGCGCAAGGGTGGGACTGGGTTTGTGGATGGATTTAAAGATTTAGGCAAGGATGACTGGAAGACAGCGAAGAAAGGCAAGGTGGGCGTTTGACTACAGAAAGAACATTCTGTTTCATTTTCTTCTATTCACTGCCAGGAATATTACACGTGGTGGTAGTCCTAGCTACTTGGAAGGCTGAGGCAGGAGGATCAGTGGAACCCAGAAGTTCAAGGCAAGGCTGAACACATCGCGGGGGCCTTACCTCAAAAACAGATCCAAACCAGTTAGATATAAATGAATGAGTAAAGCAAAAGCTTTTCCTTCCTATTTAAATTCTTTCAAATTAAAACTGTAGATTCTTTTATTAACCTTTTGGAAAATGTCTATGCAAACACAGCTGTATACATATAGTTTTTCAAAACCTAGCATAACCACCCCAAAAGGATTACATGCTGTATACTATAATACAACTCGGATTTTCCTTTAATTTTAAATACTTTGGGGTTCCTTGAAGGTCAAGGGCATCCAAGGACCTCTTCCGGGTTATGTAATATTCCTTCGCTGGATGGGTAGATTTGCTTAGCGAGTCTTTGGTACAGATAAGTATCGTTTGCACTTTGAGACTATTGTCCAAAGGAAAAGACTGCGTTGGTAAATGTGTTTTTACATATTACCTTTGCACACTTTGAATCTACCTGTGAGATAAACTACCAGAATAGAACTTTCTAGGATAGGTGGCTGCTTTTCGGATCTTACCAAATGTGGTCCACAAAGATCACGCTGACTTTTGTTGTGAAAATAGATCAGAGCTGGTCTTCCCCACACCTTTTCTAGTGCTGGGTTTCATAACCCTCTTACAACTTTGCCAACTGCCGAGTGCAAAGTGGTATCTACCGTTGAGTTTCCCTTTTCCTTTCCTGTTGAACCGAGAGTTTCGTGCATGCTGGGAAACCTCCAACTTGGGGCTGTGCCTCCAGCCTAATTTGGGCTTCTCTACTAGGGTGAAGTTAAATTCTTTCGGAAATTTTCTAATTTCCCTTTGGCTTGCTTGCTTCTTTTTAATTTATTTGTTCATTTGTTGATTTATTTATTTTTGGCACCGGGGATCGAACTCGGGGCCTTGCGCTTCTGAGGCAGATGGCAGAATCACTGAGCTAAATCCCCAGCCCACTTCCCTCTTATTAAATTTCAACGTTTTTTAGAGCCTTAAGACACAAAGTACCAACAGGAGGTGCCCTCTCACCTCTGCCTCCGCGGGTACCCTCGTTGTAATAATTGTTACCCCTTCTTTTTTAGTCTCCACACTCGAGAAGACACAATGCTTGTCTGTGTCTGGCTTATTCCCCTTCATACAGTGCTTTCCCTTTCTGCCCATTTTCCCCCATGACAGCTTCACCTTCTTTCTGGCCGAGTAGTACTCCACCACATAATACTGTCTTTTCTTTATCCACTGCTCTGCTGGCACACGCAGCCCGACTTCCTGTCAGCGGTACTGTGAGGAGTGCTGAGATAAAGTGGGCAAGCAGGCGCCTCTTCTCTTCTCCCTGGCTGTTTCCTTTGGGTAGATGCCCTGCGGCTGCGTGCTGACATCAGAGCCTGTATGAATTACCCGAGTGGCCGCGACCCGGGTGAGCGTCCTTCCCCACACTTGCATGTGTGCGCAGTTTATTGATTTCTCCAATAGCCTGGAGAACCACAGCATAGGTTTCCTCTGCCTTTTCCTGATGTAAAGGTGCTGCTTGAGCGCTTTTTATTTTTGCTCACGTTTTATTCCCCGTTCCCACAACCTCTTGGGATGTTAACGCAGTCAGATCGGGGGTTACATACGGTCAGAGGTCTTGGATTTTGCTTTGTAGTATAATTTCCTCATTAAAGAATGTAAGACTCTCCTATAGTCACAGGCATTTTTGGTGTTTTGTTTTATTTTTGTACCGGGGATCGAACTTGGGACCTTAAGCTTGTAAGGAAGATGGCGGTGCCACTGAACTAAATCCCTGGCTCCATTTTTGTTTTAATAGCGGGGAGCTGGTGCAGATGAGCAGTGCATTTTTTTTTTTTTTTGGTTTTTTGAGGCTGGTTTTGAACTCACAGCGATCCTCCTGCCTCAGCCTCCTGAGTGCTGGGATTACAGGTGTGTGCTGCAGTGCATTTTAATTCCTCTTATACCCCTCCCTCTCTCTCTCTCTCTCTTTTTTTTTTTTTTTTTTTGGTCTTTATATGGCTGCATTTTCACTTTCCAATCCTTGCTGTGCTATAAATACTGTATTTTGGGTGAGGGTGAGGCAGAGCCAGCCCTACTGCAGGCAGCGCCCCTCCCCGCCCCTGTGGGCTTCCTTCAGTCTGCGCTGGACTCCTCTTCCGTCCAGAGACTCTCCTGCCTCTGCCCTCTAAGAGCCCTGAAATCTGCTCCCATGTTCTTTCCATAGTGTGGATTTAATCCTGCTCTCCCTCTGCAGCTCCCATGGCTTTTAAGGCGAAGTCCAAACTGTTCTGGATAATCTAGGAGGCCCCCGAAGCATAGAAATCACAGGTCCCAGAGCTGAAAATCTTGGAGCCAAGATTGCTGCAAAGTTTAATAGAGTGAGAGGAACAGGACAGGAACTGAAAATACGCCTCCGACACAGGAAGGGGGAGAAAAGGCAAACCGCCGAGTTAGGAAACCTGGATATGAAAGTAACTTAAAAAATGGGGAAGGTGGGGGAGGGAAAGACCCAGTGCAGGCCACTGTTAGGGGCTTAGTGCACGTTTGTAGCACGGTGACACTGCGGGGGCACCACGTGTGCGAAACCCGTCTTCTTTCTCCTTTTCTCCCCTTGCCCTGCCCTCCGCTATCTCCTGTTCCCCTTCTGTTTTCAGGGGCTCCATCTCCCTATTTCGTATTATCTCTTATTTTGCCCTTCGGTTTCGCCTATGAGAGGAATCATGCAGCATTTCAGCTCATGTGTCTGATTTATTTCACTGAACATGATGGTCTCAAGGTGCATCTGTTTTCCTACAGAAATTTATCCTTTATGACGAGTAGTACTCTATCGTGTGTAAATACCACATTTTCTTTATCTCTTCATCTGTTAATGGACATACAGGTAACTTCGGGGATTTATCTATCGTGAGTTGTATTGCTATAGACATCGGTGTGCTTGGCTCACTGTAATATAATGTGTTTAACTTTTTGGGAAGATAACTTGAAGCGTAATAGCTGGCTGGGATGGAATTTCTCATTTTAGTTTTCAGAAGCATCTCCATGCTCATTTAGTTTCCCTTTTCCCTACAGCCTCGCCAGCATTGGTTTATTATTTGGTTTCGTGATGATGGCCATTCTTTCTGGAGTAAAATGGAATCTCAGTGAGGTTTTTTGTTTGTTTTGGAAAGTTTTTTTTTTTTTTTTTTGGTACTGGGGGTTGAACTTGGGTCTTTGCGCTTGCAAGGCAGGCACTGGCACCACTGAGCTAAATCCCCAGCCCTATTTGTTTTGTTTTCGAGGCGGGATCCTGCTATGTAGTTCAGGCTGGCCTTGAACTCACTATGTAGCCCAGTCTGGCTTCAAACTCAGGGCGATCCTCCTGCCTCAGCCTCGCGAGAGCTGGGACTACAGGTGTGGGTCACCATGCCTGGATTTTACTGTTGCTTTGATTCATATTTCCCTAATGGCAGAGGTGCAATGTTTTTTTTTGTGTATGGATTGGCCGTCTGTACTTCTGAGAAGTGTCTGTTCATTTCAGCTACCCATGCTTTGGTTAGCAGTCAGTATGACAGATGTCCTTCATACTTGTGAGTAACCACTGATCTTTGTGTTGTTTGAATCATTCACAAGCGTAGAAGAATCTGTAAAGCTACGTGACTTTTTTGAGGATGCTGCCCGTTCGTGACAGCCGAGCCTGGTAAAGCCTGCTGGCACGTAGATCAGTCTCAGTTATGAATGCAGTTGTTGTCACAGTTCTGAGTGCCCAGAAGTTGACTGTAACTGGTTAGTTTCAATACTGTTTTCAAACCCAAAGTGGTTTATTCCAGTGCAAGAGTGGCTCCTTTGTTTTTTGTTTTTGGTACCAGGGATCAAACTCAGGACCTTGCCCTTGCGAAGCAGGTGCCAGAACCACTGAGCTACATCCCCAGCCCTTAGAGTGGCTTCTTTTAAAATCAGCAGTAGCTGCTGCTGCTGAGTGGGGTGAAGGGTGTTGCGCCTCAGTGTGGGGACAGAGGCAATGCTGGTAAGAGCCACAGGGCCTGAGTCCGGGACCTGAGTCGGGACCTGACCTCGCCGTCCCCACAGAGCCCCGGGGTCGGGGTCAGAGTCACCATTGCCTGTGGGGCCTTCGGAAAACTCAGGGGCTGGGGAGTGGCTCAGTGCAGACTGGGGCCCAGCACACAGGCAACTCTGGGTTGGGTCCTCACACTATGGGCCCCTCACCCGAAGGAGTGATTGCGTTACTGTGGGCCAGAGGCGTGGCTTTGCAGGCAGCTGGCAGAGCTAAGTGTCCGTGCTCAGACTGAAGTCCTGTCTTTCATCCGGGCTTCTGAGAAGCCTCACAAATGCAACTCCAGGGGACACAATTTTGCCGAGAGTAAGAGAAAGGAAGCCACATGGGGTGGAGAGGGCAGGCGCTGGGTGATCAGACGCAGAACTGTAGAAGAGGCTCTTAAAAAGGAAGAGTGCTGATGGTTGGCCAAGGAGTCAGAGGTGTTCAGAGTACCAGGAGATCCGTGGTGATAGGCTCATTACCTAGCAGAGTAGGCACGGGTGAAAGTGTAGCAAACTGAAAGAAAGGCTTGAAGAGACTGTGCAGAATACAGCACAGGCAAGCAGATAGGAGAGAATTGAATTTGAGGGTCTCTTGCACCCCCAGAAAAGCTGCAGGTCCACTGGCGACGGCTGTGGCAGCAGCAGGATCGAAAGACAGGTGACTGTCAAAGTCACACAAGACTTCTTTCCAGCGGATACCTCTCGACCAACTATCATTTAAGAATGTGGGCCAAAAAAAAAAAAAGGTCTCTATTTTTAATTTGGAAAAGCTGTATAATTCAGCACCTAGTCCTTATTTGAAAACAAAAAGAACCAGGAATGAGAAATAAGCTCTCTGAGGATGGGGAATATAATCACCATGAGATCACAGAGGCCTGCAACAAGAATCTTTTTTTGGTACCTGGGATTAAACTCGGGTCCTTGCGCTTACAAGGCAGGCCACCGAACCGCTGAGCTAAATCCCCAGCTTGCAACAAGAATCTTGACATGCAAACAGCTAGCTGTCTGCTGGAAGCAGGCAGGCACCATTGTAGTCATGAAGTATGAGAACCTTTCCTATTACAATGCATGTTAACACTATTGTCTAATATTGCATCCAAAATTCTACTCAAGAATGAAAAGGACAAGTTGGTGTGGAGGTGCACGCCTGTAGCCCCAGCACTTAGGAGGCTGAGGCAGGAGGATCACCTTGAGTTTGAGGCCAGCCTGAACTATATAGCACAACTCCATCTCCAAAAAAGAAAAAAAAAAGAAATGCCGGGCGTGGTGGCACACGCCTGTAATCCCAGCACTCGGAAGGCTGAGGCAGGAGGATCACTGTGAGTTGGAGGCCAGTTTGGGCTACATAGTGAGTTCCAGGTCAGCCTCAACTACATAGTGAGACCCTGTCTCAAAAAAACGAAAAAAAAAAAAAAAAAAAAAAGAAAGATAAATGAATATGTGAAAGAAGTACTTAAACTTTGAAAATCAATGACACTGCCTGTTTATATAACAAATTAATCACCAGAAAACCATTGGGAGTAATGAATACAGAAATTTGATCCAGTAAGAAATATAACTCCTAAAAAGAATATAACTCCTGCCTATGAGCCTGAGAATCATCCGGTCCTCCGTTTCTGTTTAATACTCAATTCCTTACCTGTAAGACTTAAGTCTCACTTTTACTCCTGGAGCGTGAACAGCCAAGAGGCTTCCACGATGCTGGGCTCAGAAGCTCAGCGAGGCTCCAGGAGCTTGTCGGACAGTGAGAGTCACCCAGGAAGGAACACACCAGGCAAGTTGGCAAATAGACCTTTATTAGTCTGGCCAGACGGCACTCCCCAAGCCAAGTAGCTCAGAGAGGCGGCCAGCTCAGAAACAGAGGCCATTTTATATAGGGCTAAGGGGGGGGGGTGTTACACTTAAAACTTACAGGAAGAGGACAAAGGCAAAGAATCAGTTGATCTGAGCTAGCGGTCATCAAGCATATATTTGACCGTCACGTACTAATGATCAGCAGATCGATTATCCATTATTCCATTTACAACTTAGATTATAATGTTCAGAACATTCAACTACAGGCAAGTAAGGAGTGGCGTGATTTGTGTTGGGTCTCTGTGTTCACTACAGTTTCCATTTAGTTTCCCAGCTACTTCAAAGCAGTTACCTAACAATTCACAATTAATCATTAGTTATCCTGTAAGGGATGGCGGGGAGCGACAGTCTCTAGGTCGTTTGCTGGTCAACATGGAGTCGCTCTGGTTCAGTCAGGCTCTTACAACCTGTTGTATGCACAGTGGGGACACAAAGAGGAGTCCAAATGCCCCTGCCTTCAGGTGGTGCCTGTCTTAGTGGCAGTGCCCAGGGTGCAGGGGTGCCTGGTGCTGAGCTCACAGGGTGAGGGGCAGGGGCATTTGTTCTGGGGGAATTAATCACACAAAGCACTTCTATAAACCGGTCTGAAGAAATCCAGTCTGTTCTAATCTCATTACCCTGGCAGGGTTAGTTGGGGTAGTAGTTGGCCTGCTAGTCATTAACAAATAGTCCTTTTATTTTTAACTTGATCTATAAGCTCTGATAAAATATGATTAATTGGAGCACTCGAGACTTGGCCTAAGCTTGATGACTTGAGCGTTTTAAGGTTTTGCTGCTCACCTTGAATGGTGCTTTTCCAGAGCGAGCATTGTACTTGTAGACCTGTGTGCCTTCCCCTCTCTGGAGGGGTTTGCATAGTGATGGGTGGTTTCCCATTAGACGCCGCCTCCCTGGGGCCCACGGTCCTCTCTTTCTTTCGTTCTTTTTTTTGGTACGGGATCAAACTCGGGTCCTTGTGCTTGCGAGGTGGGCTCCGGAACCACTGAGTTAAATCCCCAGCCCGTGTCTTCTCTTTCCATGCACGGTCCGCTGCCTGCACCCTCCACTGTTGCTTTTTGTGTTATGAAAAAGCCTCAGCCATTTCACTTTAATGTATGATTGACTACAACAATTTCTTTTCCAGGATCGTAGAAATCTATAGCAGAAGACTACAAGGTAAACTTTCACAGCCTTTATTTCATAAAACATTAAACGTAAAACTCACATAAAACATTTCCTCTTAACAGAAAGAGTATTTTTGTTATATTACATGTCTAATGACTATGATTCAGAAATTAAAACCGGACAGGATAAAAGAGTCTGTATCAAACCTACAGAGAAGCTGTGAGTTGTATTTACACATTCCTTCACATTTCCATGCATAGGCTGACCTTTTCAAACCAGTTTATTTGTAGTAATACTTAAACAAAATGGGCTCAGATTATACATGTTTGGCCACACTTTCTTTTTTCCTTACTTTTTTCTCATTCATGTTGGCTGTTGGATTCCATTGGCTATGTCATGGCTTGGCTCAGCCAATCACTGCACTGGGGGGTGGGGCGGGGCTTGTCAGTTTCCTGCCAGGCCCGCGCACGCTTCAGCAACACTTTTTTTTTTTTCCTTTCTTTATTTTTTTGAGACAGGGTCTCACTATGTAGTTGAGACTGACCTGGAACTCACTGTGTAGCCCAGGTTGGTCTCGAACTCATAGCGATCCTCCTGCCTCAGCCTCCGAGTGCTGGGAGTACCGGCATGCGCCACCACACCCGGCTTAGCAGCACTCTTTTCTTTTCTTTTTTTGCTACCAGAGCTCAAACTCAGGACCCTGTGCTTGCAAGGCAAGCAACACTCGTATGTATTTAAAGACAAGTTGTTTGGTCAGCACAAGGAACTGTATTACTTATGTTAAGTTGTTAGCTTTCAGCAACTCAATGAGCCCCTTTTGTTAATCCTGGTAGGAGCTGTTTATGCATTGCTGCGCTGCTCTGCCGGAAGTAAAACTTGGTTGCTCCACGCTGGGATGTAATTCCTTCCCTGGGGGGAGGTGGCTGTGTGGTTCCCACATCCTTGCACCCATGGTGCAGGTGAAGGGGTGAAGAGGGGCCCTGTGTGGCTTGGTCAGCAGACAGAGCACGTTGTGGCCCTTATGTCACAGCAGTCTGCTTTTTAAGCTTTAACACACACACACACACACACACACACACACACACACACCCCTCCTAACCAAGTCCTGTCACCCCGCAGTGCAGGAGCGCCTCACCAAGCAGATCGCCGTGGCCATCACCGAAGCTTTGCAGCCGGCGGGCGTGGGTGTGGTGGTGGAGGCCACGTAAGTTGTAACCTGCCCTGATGCCGTCGTGGGGGGCACAGCTGATGCCACTGCCAACCCCACTCCGGGCCCAGAGCCACGGCTTTCGGTTGCAGTGTGGCTGAGGCAGGAGTGGAGTGTGGGAGAGAGGTGCTTCCTCCTAGGGCAGTGGGGGCAGAGGGAACCCGAGACAGATTTAGGGCATCCTGGTTGCAAGGATTGTGTAACCAGTGGTATTTTGTCTTTTTCTTCTTCTTTTTTTTTTATTAGACTTTTGTTGGGCCAGTTTTTGTAATCTTTGTTCTACATTTGAAAAACAGTAAAAACTAAGAATTAATACAAAGGGCAACTGAAGATACTTTTTGAAAAGAAAAAGAAATGTTTGGTTACTTTTAAACTTTATTTTTGAACTCACCTGGCGTGGTGGCGCATGCCTATAAATCCAGCACTGGGAAGGCTGAGGCAGGAGGGTGACTGTGAGTTTGAGGCCAGCCTGAACTGATCTTACATTGTAAGATCCTCATGTCAAAAAAAAAGAAGTTTCAGGTAATACGTCTAAGGAGGGATAATTTCACACAGTAACTGAACCGAGGTTAACCTTTTTTTTTTTTTTAATGGAGTTTATTGGTACATTTTAGGGCCGAGGTTAACCTTTCGGCCTGTTCTGTGTTAAAAACCAACCAGCACTGTCTTTTCCTTTACACCTTGTCTCCCGTAGACACATGTGCATGGTCATGCGAGGGGTGCAGAAAATTAACAGCAAAACCGTGACCAGCACGATGCTCGGCGTCTTCCGGGAGGACCCCAAGACCCGCGAGGAGTTCCTCACCCTCATCAGAAGCTGAGCGCGGCGCGGCGGACCCCACTGCGTGGCGCTGTGTCCTCGGCCTTCGTGCACATTCCACTTCCAGATGTTACAGATGTGAACTTGTCACTAATTGTATTTAAGAGTTATTTATAGGTCAAATAAAGATAATTACTAAAGAGGTGAGCGCTCTGCTTTCTTGCCACCTTCTAGTGGCAGCATTGACGTGGACCGCGGAGAGTGTTAGGTTGTGCGGTGCGACGACCGGCCGAGGGGCCGGAAGCAGAGGATCTGCGCGTGGCCTTGGGATCCCGCCGTCATCGGACCCGGCAGCTAGGAGCGTCCAGAGCCTGGCCAAACACTGCTGTTTCCTCCGCCGCCGCCAGAAGCGATCGCTGGAAGGGCTGAAATGGTCAGTGTCGGGGGCGGCGTGTTTCAGATTTATGGTGTCAGTCACCGAGGGAAGGTGGTGGGAGATCCGTTTTATTTTGCTACGAGTTCAAACAAGGCGCGCTTTTACCTTCTCTTCCTTTTTAATTCAAGCGCAGGAAAGTAGTTCCTGAACTTGTTTACGAGTTTATTCCCCCGTCACACACAGGGACTTAGTCACTGAAATCTGTGCTTTGACCAGGATATGACACCAGTGTAGGCACTGTTGCCTTTTTTTCCTCAAAGCCATTCTTGTCTAAGGCTTGGTACTGACCCGCAGAAGCACCAACACCGAGTTAACTGTGAGGTTTCGCTCGGGCTTACTCTGTACCCCATGCATTCCCTTTGGATCTTAGCAAATACATTGTCTGAGCTTTCCACGGGGCCCTGCACTGCAAGCCAGTGCTGGCCCCCGCCCGGTCACACGCTAGTGACAGCTCTCGCCCCAGGCTCTGCTCCTGTCCCCTCCCGACCCTGGGCTGCAGTTCAGTCCTTCTGTCCAGGGGAGCGAGGACTTTAGTCCAGGAAGCTGGTGCCTTACGACGATGCCTTCTCTTAGAGTTGCCTCTCTGGGGCAGTGTGGGCCACGTTAAAGCCCTGTCAAACGTGGGTGTTGTTGTTCCCCAAGATGCCTCTTATTCAGCTGCGTTAGAGCTCCCCAGAGCCACCCACCCTCCAAGCAGAATTCACCGTAGTGCTTGACTTCCCACAGGCCCTCCTGTCTGCCACCTGTTTGCCCTTCAGCTTACCATGGGGCAAGATGGTAGAGGTGGTTTTTGTTTGTTTGTTTTTGTTTTTTAAAACCTCTACTACAAAATCTCTTCCCTACCTTTCTATGTTTGGAGTTTCTAAAGTCCAGTGGTGGCTGGTTTTGAAATCGAACCTGGTTGGGCCGGGGATTTAGCTCAGTGGTGCCCTGAGTTCCATCCCCTGTACTAAAAAGAAAAAAAATATAACCTTGTATCAACAGCCAGCTCAATATTTAGCCCCATCTAGGTAGAATTCCAAGCACTCAATTCATGTTTGGTATTTTAAAGTAAAAACAAGTGTGGCTTGGAGGACCAAAGACATCTTGAGTTATAAATTCATCTTTTTGGAGAACATTTGTGTTCCTCGCGGGTGACCCTTGTCCTAACCATCCTCAGAGGCTGGTGTGTCTCCTTAAGAAGTACAAAGGTTGTGACCTGTGTGTTTCCCTCTGGTCTGTATCCCTTTGAAATTACCTCTTCAAGTCCCTGCCACTGAGTCCATTTAAAGAACTTGATGGATTTAAATGTACTGTGCAAATTGCAGTGTGTGTTCAGATTTTATGTATGTGCACGTGTTCCTGAAGTCGGTTCTACTTAAATTATTAAAGCATTATAACTTTGTTCTTGTGAAAGTTTCTTCTTCGTCCAGAAGTGTGACGATCGAACGTGAATGTGTTCGACTGTTTTAATTCTGTTTTAGCCAAGCCGCCCGCTTAAGAGCTTCCCTCGCCCGAGGAGCGGTTAGAAGGCGCCTCTCTGAGGCGCCCGGGAGCAGTCTGGGCGCTGACTGCCTCTCTGATGTGTGCGTGGGTGTTAACCGACGTCAGCGTCTCTCTGGTCGTGGGGAGGGGAGGTCTGGGGTGAGGGTCCCTCGTGCCCCTCTGTTGTCCTAATGAGGTGGCGGTGCCTGCCTCCTCTGCTGTCTGCAGGTCTGGGTTCCGGCCCCGAGTGGCCCCTGCTCCGGACCGGGTGACAACTTCGTCACCGCCAGGAGACGTCGTGAAGCCACCTTGCACAGGTGGCCCAGCCCCCGCTCCCAGGTCTCCTGAATTCTGTGTCAGCCCACAGGATGGGAGGAAGGTTTTCCACGTGCACAGGGCACATAGGGATGTCGGGCGCGAGACGCCGAGGGCGCGCACACCCCTCCGGAGACGCTTGCTCCTTTATTTTCAGTTTCCGTCATGCAGCCCCAGGCACTTACAACCTGGCCTTGAGCAGTTTCACCTCGTGGCCATCCAGTTGCTTCTAGACCCCCATTCCGCCCGGTCGACTGCAGAGCAATCCCCCGGCGTCATTTCATTCATAAATATAACATGAAATGGAGTGGAATCTCGAAAGAACCACAGAACCGAGCACCGTTACCGTATAAAAATTAGTGCGTTACTATCAACTATCCAGTCGGGACTCGATTTTCCCCTGTTGTGGCTCATACAGTTTTAGTAGTTTGGGTCAAGGGACAAATGAAATTCATACATTTGTCTTTGGTTAACCTGGTTTTTTATTAGTCCGTGTCTGCAGTGTGTGATGTTTGCATTCCTTGTGTGGAGTTGGTGCATGTACATAACGCATTTCAATTCCCTTTTCCTCTCCTTTCCCTCCCCTCCCTGCTGCCCTCCTGTATCTCTTGATCCTATTCCCATTTGAGAAAAAGATCTATCTCCCTGCTACTGTTACCCATCTTCTATTTTGCTGTTTGTACTGTGAGAGAAGTTTCAGAGAAGCCGTGTGACATTTAAACTCCTGTGTTTGGTGTATTTCACCGCACGTGGTCACAAGGTGCATCCATTGGTCCTACAAGTTCATCCTTCTTTATGGCAGAGTAATACTCCATTGGGTATAAATAGCACATTTTCTTCATGCATTTGTCTGTTGATGGGCATGCAGGCTGTCTCCAAGATTAGCTATTAGAGTTGTTCTGCCAGGGGCTGCGGGTTTAGCTCAGTGGTTTTGCACCTACTTTGCAAGCACAAAGTCCCGAGTTCAATACCTGGTACAAAAAAAAAAAAAATGTTCTTCCAACCCATTTAAGTCTCTTCAGAATCTTAGAGATTCTTTCAGCTCTCCCTCCCATCTCCTTACAATTTACAGTCATACCTTGGAATTTGACTGCTTTGCCACCCATGGAATCTGCTCCTCAGTGAATTTCGATGCATGTGTTTCATCCTGGAACGCGCACAGGCCAGAACTTGTCATTGTCAGTTGCCTGTGATCGGCTACCCTTTCCAGCCCTCTTGTCCAGCCCATCCTTTTGGTAGCACCCGCCAGAACCGTCAGCGTCGGGCACTGAGGGCGCCCTGTGTCCTGCTGAGCCTGGGCCTCTGCTTCTGGGGCCACAGCTTGCCTGGTTCATACCGTCTGCCACATGGCTGCTCTGGCTTCCGCCCGGAGGGTCCTTGCCAGCCAGGGTTTCTGTTTGGGTGGAAGGAAGGCTTGTGACAACCGAAGGCCATGGCTCCCACAAGGCTCCTGTCACTCTGGGCCTGTCCCTGGGGAATGGCGAGATTCAGCTCGGACTGGAGGAGCCCTTGCGTTTCTCCAGGAAGTGGCAGGGTCTTCTGTGTGAGCAGCGTTTTTCTTCCCTCCTTCTCAGTGCACCTCTGCCTACTCCGTGCTGCTCTGCACCCCAGCCGTGTGCTGTCCCGGGCATCCGGCCGCCTCCCCGCAAACTTCTCCATCCTGCTGTTTGTTTTGAGCAGTGTCCACAGCGCTGACCTTTTGAGAAATCCTTCAGCTCTGGAGCTGACCGTGCTGCCCAGAGGAACTTGGCTGGACTGTGGCTGAGGCGAGAAGGCCATGTTCAAGTCCCCAGGGCTGCTGGTTTTCTCCGGACTTTAGGATGTGGGTTTCTTCCTCTTTTTCCTGGTTCTTCTCACGTCTGAAAATGTGCTGAACAAATACACGGATGAGATCCCTCCTTTTTTTTCTAAGACAGGGTCTCGCTGTGCAGTTCAGGCTGGCCTTGACCTCTACTGCGCAGCGCAGGTTGGTCTCAAACTCATGGCGATCCTCCTGCTTCAGCCTCCTTAGTGCTGAGATTACAGGTGTGCGTCACCACACCCGGCTTCTCCTTCTTTGTCTCCATGGAGTTTCCCCTTGTATGTATGGAGATACTAATTGTTTTCAGTCACATTGTGTCTTGACCGGTAAATTTCTTTATGGAGATGTTTTTCCTTTGCAGGACATTTTCCTTCTAAAACTCAGGGACAAACAATGGGAAAAAAAGGCAAATCAGAATCAGTTTAAAACCGTTTGGAGTAGCAGAGACCCCTGAATTATTTTATATCGATCATTTGGGTAATACCTTAACCAAGCAAAGACAATGAACCCCAGAGCAAAATCGCTCACTCAGAACCTCAGTGCCGGGTGTTTCTGAATGGCCAGTGGCCTGGGAGCGGGAGCCTGGGCACTCGAGCCCTGTCCGGGTCTCATTGGACACCTCTGCCTGGCAGGTGTCAAATCCCTCTTACTGAAGGGGCAGCAGGAGAGTGAGTGACTAAGGAGAGTGGTAAATATTTTGGCAGAATCTCCACAGACATTCAAGATCTAAGAGAACTTTATAAATGGAAAGTGTTGTGTGCACCAGATGTATAAACCAGCAACAGTGAATGCTCAAAAAAAGAAAAAGATGAAAGTCAGTATGCAACCTTGAGTCCTCAGGACAGATAATTGTGTTTTCTTGCATTTGGATGTTTTTAAGGATGGAAGATTTAAGTGTGTGTGTGTACCCAACACCCAATCTGGAAGAGCTGTTATAAGGAAAGCATTTCTGTTTTCTGAGCGTGTGGGGGTTAGGATACCGAGTTGTTTGTGTCACCTGCTGCTAGGTGCCCAGCGTCCCGATATTCTAGACCAGTGGACCCAGCTCATCAGTCCCCCCTGCATTCACTGGAGCAGGTTCATCTTTTCCGGTGGACTCTCCACTGCTCTGTGCCACGGGTTTTCCAAGATGTGCACAGTCAGATTGGCCGTTTGAGCTCGAAGGTGCAGCTCAGTGACTTTGACA